AATCTTTTATATCTTCAAAACTTCGAAATTTATCGTATTTATTTTGCTCCTTCTTTTAGGACCCAATAACACCTGCTCCTTGTATTAAAATGTTAAACGATAAATATGAGCTATATCTTGATTATCAGCTCATTGCACAAACAACGTCTGCTGAAGAGGAAATATCAGTGCTACTTTGTTTATATAATATTTTCCAAATAAAATTCACACGTCATTCTCGTGGTATTAATTTATTGTATGGTATAATGTTTCAAGATCAAAATGAGCTTAGCAAATCATTGAGAAAGCTCCTTTTATCATGGGATTATATAATTACAAACAAATCAATTTTTGATCAACATAAAACTACAAAAACAACGGTGGACAATATCATTATCATTCAAAGTACAACATCAATTGAAACCAATAAAAATGATTTAAATGTTTTAGAAGAAACGTGTTTTATTCAAAATCAACAAGTAAATAATGTTTGTCATGAGCCCACAATCAATCATTCATTTAATTATACACAAGAATTGGGTAAGCCGTAAAAAATATTAAAAAATGATCATCCTTTAGAAAAAATACTTCATCAACCAAAACGGAACGATTTCACAATGCTTATTCAAAAATATTTGATCTATTATTTCGAAAATTCCTCTTTAACGATTATTTTATACTTTGTATGCTATTGCATTTTAGTTGCCAAGGAAAATACATATACAGTATCAAACACACCGAAAGATGAGTTTATCTCATCGGGAAAACAATCCACAGCTGCTCCTAGAGATCTAAATATTTTTCAAACAATTGAGAAAAGTTCTTTCGATACTGAAGCAACAATTATATCAACACAGCATCCAAGCAAACGTAAAAAGACAACATCCAATAATGAAGCAACAACATTATCACGTCGTCGACAACCCAAGAGATCTCGTTTATCATAATTATCCATTCGTTTGAAACGAAAACATCCTTTTTCGTAATTTGTCCTCGTTATGTTTTTCTGATATTGTAAAATGGAGAAATGTAACTAGTGTCATTTTCTCCGTTTGTTATTGCTTTCCTTATGCACAATATCACCTTATAATTTCCAAAGAAGTACTTGTTTGATCAAGTCTTCTTTTGTTAACTCCTCATTCATTTTAGAATCATTTGCGAAATACAAACCGAGTAAAATGAAATGATCCATGTTCTATATTTCAATTCAACTTGAGTGTATACCGATGCTGAGCTAAAAATTAGAACAAAAAATCTTTTCTTCAACTTGTTCACCTTCATAATGTTGCTGTATCAGTCGCCAGTGATATCATAAGAAACAAAACCATTTTTTTTATTATATCAATCCATATCACTGCCACAATAATGGTAAGTTAGATATTGAAATGAAAAGAATCGAAAATTTCCATTTTTCTTTACTTACCCTCATCTGGAAATAATATCCATCGTAAGTTATACACGTTGAAATGAAAAAAAGATATCTGTTTTTTTGTATTTAGGTTCATATTCAGATGATAATATATGGTAAGTATTATATGTTGAAATGAAAAATAGATATTCTCTTTTTTATATTTAGGTTTATATTTAGATGATATTATTTGGTAAGTTACTTATATTCAAATGAAAAATAGACATTTTTTTTATTTAGGTTCCTATAGAGATGATATTATATGGTAAGTTACCTATATTCAAATGAAAAATAGATATTTTCTTTTTTTTATTTAGGTTTATATTTAGATGATATTATTTGGTAAGTTACCTATATTCAAATGAAAAATAGATATTTTCTTTTTTTTATTTAGGTTTATATGGAGATGATATTATATGGTAAGTTACTTATATTCAAATGAAAAATAGACATTTTTTTTTATTTAGGTTCCTATAGAGATGATATTATATGGTAAGTTACCTATATTCAAATGAAAAATAGATATTTTTTTTTATTTAGGTTTAAATGGAGATGATATTATTTGGTAAGTTACCTATATTCAAATGAAAAATAGATATTCTCTTTTTTATATTTAGGTTTATATTGAGATGATATTATATGGTAAGTTACCTATATTCAAATGAAAAATAGATATTTTCTTTTTTTTATTTAGGTTTAAATGGAGATGATATCATTTGGTAAGTTACTTATTTTCAAATGAAAAATAGATATTCTCTTTTTTATATTTAGGTTCATATTGAGATGATATTATATGGTAAGTTACTTATATTGAAATAAGAAATAGATATTTTCTTTTTTTTATTTAGGTTCATATGGAGATGATATTATGTGGTAAGTTACTTATATTGAAATAAAAAATAGATATTCAATTTTTATGTTTAGGTTCATCTTCACTGCGTAGCATTGGTAACTCATATGTTTGAATTGAAATGGTAAATATGTTTTTTTTGTATTGCGATTCATCCGGAAACTAGCTCAGGCTGTTCGTTGGTACCTCTTTTTGTAGTGAGACAACATAGGTTCGAGGCACTGCACTATGTCTGTCGTACAGAACCAATAACTGCGCAGTAACGGATGATTTTAGTAAAACCATTGAAATTGGTAACTTTTC